GCGCTGTGTCAACAGCAGGCCCCGCGGCAGGTCAGCCGCCGAGGCCCTCGCTGGAGCTGGACTCGGGGCCAGAGAGATGTTTATCAGGTTGTCAGAGGAGGAAAACGTGGGTCGCCCACCCGGTGGGACCGGCTTTTCCCAGCAGCCGACTCAAAATAAGTCTGGTGCCTTGATTTGTCTTCCTGATTGGCCCTCTGTGTGCTTCATAACCGCTCTGTTTTTAGAAGCCCCGAGGGGGACCCGAGGGGACAGGCCGGTGAAGATGGGCGGCTGCGGCCGGGGCCCCCACCGTGGGGGACTGGACCGAGGAGGAACCCCTTCGGAGGGCACGGCCCCCCCTCGCGTGTTGCAGGCTGCGCCTAGCGCTGCAGGCCCTGGGGTGGGTTGGGGGCTGCACAAATGTAATTTGGAGCATCAGGGGCTGTGCCCGGCAGGGACCCTGGGACCCCAGTTGGGCGGCCTGTGCTGCTGCCTGGGGCTCACAAAGGCGTCGGCGCGGCAGCTGCAGACCCCAGATCTAAGTGCTCAGTTCGGTTTTCATGAGTGGGGGTGGGGGTGGGGGCCCGGGCAAGAATGCGAGGCTCGGATGACTCAAAAGCCACTTGTAACCATAGCTCTCCTGTGAAGGGCCTCGTGGCGAATGTGGACATATGGGCCGTCCACCCGCCGCCGTGACAAAGACGGATGGCCGAGCCGACACAGAGGACACAGGCGTCTTTATGAGTCCAGCGGCGCCCCCCCCCACGCGGGCTGATTTTATGCACGGCAAATATTAGGCCAAATAATTACGGGGGCCCCGTTCAGGACAACAGCTGTGACTGTTTTTCAGAAAAGCTGCCACGCGGACGGGGTCCCCTCACCGAGGGCCTCCCGGAGCAGCTAGGCCTGCGGCCGGCTTCACCACAACGCTACTGCCATCTAGCGGCCGGCGCCGCGGCTCCACGCGGAGCTCTGACACAGAAACAGCAAACGGGAGGCCCCCCACCCCCCAAACAGAGGGGGCAGCTCCCGGACCCAGCGAGCAGGGCTGACCCAGCGACGGTGGAGACCCTGCCCGGGACCGCGCAGCCTCGGGGTC